TATCCCACGTAACCCATAAGGTGTCATTTAAGTTAAAAATGCCAAATCCTTCTCATTGTTATTTTTTTTCAAAAGCACACTTTTGAATTGCTGTCCTAGTTGCGTCATTTTTTCTCTCGTTATTAATATTCATCCCTTTTGTAAATCTAGATTTCTACATATTTTCTCTCTGTCCTTGATTAAATTATCTTTCTTTCATATCATCTCTCGCCCCTTTTCCATTGTTATGTAAACTGTAACTTCATATTCCTTCTTTCTGGCTTTTTCTATACTCACATTGTCGGTTTCCGGATCTCCTGCCGGTTTTCCTATGACAAAGAACAGTAACGTCGGAAGTGTTTAGTAGACCGTTATGAAAATTAGTGTTGTGTTTTTACACCTAGCTGGCCTCACTCATGCTGAAAGTGTAATTTAATCGACTAACTTCAGGTCGTTGCACACGCACAAAGGAAATATATATATCTATATAAGCACGTATGTTTATATATTTTGTACGTTTAAATAGTTGTAGTCGTTAGATGGCATATTTTGGAACGTTTCTTATAGAACATTCCAATTTCGGTCGGCTTTTTTTACATGTCATGATTTTGTAAAACTTGATACACACTCTTAGTCTCAGGAAGTGGGAAACCACTATGTTGGTTGATCCTCTCATAAAGTCGGACATAACTAACAGAGCAGAAAACTATAGGTGCATTTCTAATAGCAGTCGTTTCCTTGTCCGTAAGGTCTGGTCAAACTTCTTATGGCTTCGCGTGGTGTTTCGAACTATACACGCTTGGCCTTCGTGTGACGTCTATCCTGGTTCACGTGCACTACGGGAAATGAAGCGATACAATAGACTTCAGAGGAGAAGTGTGACCTCGACTGTATTGTCTGTGGTCTTGAGGAGTTGCTGCTCTATCTGATATGGTGTTTTTACACATGATAATGTGATTACACCTCAAATAAATATATATCAGCCGAATCTAATGGATTTGCTTTTCAACAACTGTTTATCATAAAAAGAGTGATATCTTGATTTATATTACAGGTGACAAAATACGTTTTCCATCAAAACGTGATCGACTAAATCTGCAGTGTCCACGATCCATAAGGGTGAGTAAAATGTTATATCATTTAGCTACATTGTGGCGTCCGTATAACTTAAAATTAGTTAGTTATTGTCATTTAACTAGATTGTAGTGTCCACAGTTCTTAAGACTGATTCAAGTATCAAGACACACGGTTGTGTATCGTGCAGCTAAAATAACCTGCAGGACACACTGTGTGTTATTAACAGGAGTGATAGTTTAGCAAATTTCCACGTTCTGTAGCTCGGACTGTGGCAACATAATTTCAATGGATGTACTATACTGGATCCTTACTTCACGTACCAAATTTCATGGTAATCCATTAAGAAATACAAGAGATATGAAATCTCCAATTTTGATTTGTTTCCTTTTTTCAAATTTTATTTGATAGAAATACATATATAACTTTCATGGATTTTCTTTTTAAATTGATTACACTGATAGATATTTACAATCTACAATTAGTTGTCAAATTTGGTCTAAGTATAATCCATATGTGCAAAGTTATTCAACAAAAAACCGCTCAATTTTGACCAAATTTGTGCGCACGCCTACGCAAAAAGTCACGTGAGCTGTTAGTCTAACATTTTTACTACATCTTCATCTAAGAGTAAAGGTAGAGCGTTTTTAGTTTTTTTGTCATTCGAATTAAAGATGGCTAATTTAGAGCAGCAAAACTATAGGGTGAAAGCACGTGCAGATAAATATGTATTGGTTAGGCCAAACAAACTTGATTATCAGTTTTTAGCTCAATTTTCAAACGAATCGTATGGGTGGACGGTTATTATTCATTGCTAACTTTTAAGCACAAATTTGCTAAAGTTTATGAAATTCTCCTAAGTAAAGAATGTTTAGCGTCACGTGATATTTGCTTATGTAATTAGCGTAAAAAGTGATGCTTCATACAACTGCACTGAGTGCATGCGGGTGATGATAAGAAACTGATAATCTAGTTTCCATGGCGTTAGGAAGTTATTCCATGGCGTGTAAAGGAAGTTATTAACACTGTTTTAGAGAGGAAAAACTACCACCATATATTTTAAAGAATCTGGTTGGTTCTGTAAAGTATAGGTCTTTTACGAATAATAGGGTTGCGATCCTAAAGCTAATGTTGGTTAATAACGAGTGTCACTTTCTTACTTGCTGTGATTTTTTGGTGAGTATTGATAAAAAGTCATGATGTCTAATCAAAAACACCTTAGGTGTGAAAAAAAGGTGCAGCCAAGAAATTATTGAGCGTGCGATTTAAAGGAATGAAATCAAATTTGGCTGCCAAACTTGGGAAATGATGGTGGGTAAAACAAAATACGCAGCCTAGCTAACTAATAAATGAATATTTGCTGTAAAATTCTTATAAATGCTATAAGTGCAACTACCAGTTTGGCAGCCAATTTTGTTTATATAAGTCAATTAATTGAAAAACAAATAACACAAAAGCATTAGGCTTTGTAGAAGGGTTGTACAAATCAATTAATTGAAAAACAAATAACAGAAAAGCAACGAATTTTGTAGAAGGGTTGTACAACTAATTTAATTTCATGCACACATTGTTTTCTATCAGCACAAGTTGGAAAGTTATGTTAAATGACAATATTTGAGTTAGCGTTAAGACGTGTGGACACTACAGTCGAATTAAATGACAATATAATCAAAAACATCTTAGGTGTGAAACAAAGGTGTGGCCAATAAAGGATTGAGCGTGCGACTTAAAGAAATGAAATCCCTTCTACAAAATATAACGCTTGTGTGTTTGCATTGTTTTTTTTTTAGCCTAGGGAAAATATTTTAAATGAAACAGTAATGCTCTTATTTAAAAACAAAAATCAGGCTCTGCGGAATGTTGTTGGCATATCTATGTTCTAAAAATTAAACATTTAATTTTATGAGAGAACATATTGTATATGAATATTATACAGTTATTTTGACAAAGTGCATAACAAGTGCGTATTTAAAGATTAGGCTACGCTTGAAAAAATAATGTGTATAAAGCTATGAAATGGCCTTAGATTTTAATAATATAAGATACATTTGAATGTGTGTATTACCTATGCTATTATACTTCGCTTCATAACTAGGATCGTGCGCGTGTTCGAAAAGTAATGGCACTCAGCGGTGACATATGTCTCAACTTGTAATACACACCACAAAATAAACTGAAACACACTGTAAGTAAAAACAAAACATCGTGCATAGAATACAACCAGTTTTGAATCGTCAATCATTCACAAGTTCGTAACTTGTAGACACACTGGGTTCACTTTTATTTCTAACACGATAGTGTTGCTATGGTTACGCTTCAAGATGACAACTCGTTCATTTTTTGCTTCAACAATTGGTAAGCACGATTACACCGTCTGCAAATGATAAATAAACATTACCAACGTGTAATGAATGACAGTACCATTGACTAACTGTCTTGCTTCTAGGTCAAAGTTAGGGACGGCTATGCACGGATAGCCCTGTGTATCTTTCTGTGAAAAATCTGAAATTTGTTCTCTTGGAAAACACTAACAGTCATTATACATATGCTTCAGAAGCAACTATTAAACAAGTCGATAGATGAACGGCTGGCTAAACACGTTATTATATTTAAGTTCTCTAATACTTACAAAACTTACGTTCATATATAGCCCGCCAATAAGACAAAATTTCATGGGTCCGTGAACTTATGCTGACTGAAAATTCAACAACAAATATAACAACTTCACAACATTTTTTTGTGTAGAAAAGTATTTTCTTTTATTGACAGCTATCTACACTTATATGATATGTTAACTTGTGGAATTGCATTTCCGTTGTGTATGTAATTAGATGCGATTTCTATAGCTGACTTTATTTCATTGAAGGACACGTAAAAACAGCTTTAGAAGTTGTGTAAATTTTAAGTAATTCGATAATCCAGATTACAGTTAAGCCTAATATGGAAACCCACTGGCATAATACAAATAAAAATAAAACAAATTTGCTAAATTCATTTTTAATGAACTGATAAACACGCAGATCCAGGGATAAATAGGCCGTGGTAGTTTACAGCTGTATCATTAAGAAAAAAGAAGACAAATATCAGTAGATAATAAATAAATGAATTTTATCACAGTATCGTATAATACAAAATCTCCTTTCAGATCTAGTCTTTTAGATAGCATTTGTAGGTACTGCATCGCAGGAATATTTCTTTCGCAAATACGATTCTCGTTGTACAGAAAGTAAGTTGAAAATGTTTTTCAGGATAAAAGTAGAAAATTAATGTCACTGATAGCGGGGTCTCTTTATCATGTGATACTTAACAGTTCTGCATTTTGGTAAAGTTATTATTTGTTGATAACAGTACTGATTTTTCTACACATATGACTAGATGACGTAATAACCTTTATTTAGGTTTAGTTATTAGGGCTAAAATGAGATTTTAATGTCGTAAAAGTTTAAAAGGGTTGTTTGCTAATAAAAAATATCGTAAGTTTTATTTTGTCTTGGGCTGATTTACGTTAGCTGAAGACAATTATAAAATCAGTCCCTTTTGTAAACTTCTGTTGTAATGAGGTATTTGGTTTGGTGTATTTAGTTTATAAGTTATAAACAAAGTTTTATTTAACAAAATAGAATACACGTACCCAACTTTGTTAGAAAAGTCAGGTCGTCCCAGGACCTTACACTGCTCCCTCACTTTGACATTGTGTATGGTTTTCGATCTGATGACGTAGGTTCACTCTGTGATGTAACAAAGTATTTGAGAAGGAGAAAGGAGAACTGTGCTTTACAGCAATGGCTAACATATTTTGATTAATGCAACATTACTTTAAGCAGAAATGAATAGCCATCTTAACTTAGCATAAACAGATGACTTTCATAAAGGATGAAACTGTGTTTGACGTTTCTGAAGAAACTATAGTATCATGAAACAAACTATACGTGTTATTGTGCTGTCCCAGGATGCAGAATGTACCTGTTCTTTCATTTGTGGAATTTCAACAACATACACTTTACTACCTGGAACTTCGACCTTCCTGGTGTGCGGTTTCCTTGTGCTTTTGCACGTTTACAAGCCACATTCGTGCAACGTGTTAGTGAAGTAGCAGTTCGTAATGCTTAATGCAATCACTGTTATACAGCTCGAACCTCGTTATCATAAGAAGATGTTTTGAACATTGAACCGGTTTTTCCAGTGTAAAGAATCGTGGCTGTTTTAATTATTTGTCGGCCAACAGTTTCACCTTGTTGCATATTTCGGTCAGAATTCACATTTTCTAAAGCTGAAATCTTAAGCAGCTTATCTCTAAAAGTATGGAGGTCATAATGCAGGTACGGTGTGTAATTTTTTTCTTTTTCTTTGTGGCTTAGTTCTTGATTTAGTTCTTCAGCAAATTTCTAACAGCCTTGCAAGTGATTAATTTCTATATAATTAAATAAATGCAACTCTATATATATAATATATATATAACAAAATGTTTTAGTTACATTTTCTTCCCAATTTGTTTTGTCAAAAAACGTATGAAATGTAAGACAGAACTTATTTGAAATGGGAATTTCCCCCCTACATAACTATTGGCCACTTTATAAGAAAGCCAAGTTATAGTGAAATATACCTTATAATTAATTTCTAGTTTGTAAAGTAAGAAAAAAAAGTGTAAGATTACATTACATTTTACAAATAAAATTACTCAGGGTCGATACAGAAAGATAGATAGAGGTGAAAAATACTGTAAAAGCTGTTTTAAGACATTCACGTTAATATATTTTATTAAATGCCCTGTCTGTTCAAACTACATGTAGCAAACAGTCGATTAAACATTTCCAGCATTAGTTTTATAGTACGGATTTAAGGACTTACAACGCTTTGCGGCGGACACAGTAGATAGTCCAATGTGGCTTTTTTCTAAAACAAACAATACGGATATGATTTATGTACATTAAAATAACTGAGAAATATTACTAATTCCTTTTTTGTATTATTGAAAAAAAGCCTTTTCATGTGGTATTTTAGAACTGTACTGATAGTCAGTTGGTCTTTTAAGTTTTGAACCTTGTTGTGTAAAATGTGTTAAGTTGATTTAGAAAATAAATGTAAATGAAATTAGGATGTCAGTGAATGGTGAGTAAGTGTTGATATATTTGTCATTTGGTTCATATAATATGACCTTTAGGAAAGTGTACTAAATAAGAAGTCACTGCCTATTGAAATATCCTATGAAATATAATCAAACCGGCAGTGAGGTTTACATATCTTCCGCGTGGCTTTTTTTTTAAAGGACTGTTGCATAACTGGGACAGGTAATGAGGCAAAATCTACACTGATATTGCAGATTTCCTCTCCAGTCGAGCCGCTTCAAGGATTCTACTTACATTTCGATAGAGGACAGGTAATGAGGCAAAACCTACACTGATATTGCAGATTTCCTCTCCAGTTCGAGCCGCTTCAAGGATTCTACTTACATTTCGATAGAAAACAATTGATATGATAATAAAAATTAATAAAGAGACACTTGCACATGATCAACAATATAAAAGTATATACAATCATTTGTATGGGAAACGGTTACAAAACATGCCTAGAGAGATTCATTACATTATATTATAATAGTTTTGGAGCCTAACCTTCTTATAGTTCATGTTGCCACGTCCGATCAAGCAACTTGACAATAATCCTGCAGCTTATTCTCATTTCAAAGGCATCATCTATGAAGTCATGTCCGAAGCACACCATTCATTTCTGATGCTTTCCACTTTGCATCTAATGTTAGAGGACAACTGTTTCCCAGTGCCCAGAAATACATATGTGTTGCGTCCGGCGGCTTGACCAGTATGTCTTTGTTTGAAATAGCATGAATACACGTTTCATTCTCTAGCTGTTTGAGAGACGTGACATATTAAACGGATATGTTATGGAAGTAGCTTATGTACACGTGACTTGTGTCGTTTTTTCCTGGCGGAGCTCGTCTTGCTTATTTTGATTACTGTTGCCTGGGAGACGTTGACAGCTTTTACCACTGCTCTTTGTGGATCCTCAATTACAAGACGCCGCATTTTGCTTACCATGGCTGGTTACGCTTGTTGGAGCTCTTTTTCTGGATAGTCTTGGTGCCCCAGGTTGATCCATAATCCTTTGTTTTCCATTGAAATTTCTAAATTCTAAATCCCCGATTTGAATAAATTTTATTATATAAGTATATGATATTTTGCGTCGGAAAGGGGTGTTTCTTACCCTTCCCAAAATCGATCAGTTTTCGGTGGTATCATGATACCTATGAAACATTAAATAATGTTAAAATGTAGTTCAGATACATTACTTTCCGCCGCCACTTTATATCGGCTGTGGTTGTCAAGTGACTTTTCATATTCAAATTAGTTTAATATAACATACTTAATTTTCTGTATAGCATATAAGTTATGTTATTACTTCTCCGTGTTCTGTAAATAAGCCTACTGAATGACGTTCTTTCATATTGATTTACATTAGTTAAGGAGAGTTGTACTGGTTGACTGCAAAATTATATATATATATATTAAGAGCCTGTTTAAGTCTTATTTTCAACAAAACAAGTGAAGATAAATGACTAGGTAACATAAGAAATTAATTTAACTGGTGTACTGTAAATGGAGGGATTTTGACAGCTTTCTAGATTTAGAGAGGAAACTTAGCTGAACAGAAAAACAGCTTGTGGTTCTTATAGCAGAAAAACTAGAAAGATATACTATTCAGACTTTTTGCATGCTTAGTTTAGATTGTTAGGTGTGTGGCAGTTTAGAACTGTCCGTATTTTACCTTGACATAACTAGAATAATAATATATATTTAATTAAGTATATATATATTTCAAATTTGCATGCAGGTACTCCTTTATTTAGTTAGTGTCTTTCTAAACAGAATGTAGTCAGCATTACTTCTAATCATAACCTTGCACTACATTGACCGTTCCAGAGGGCTTATGCTTGCCTGTTCAGGCTTGTTTCTTGTCTTCCTCCATTGGTATGAGGGTCGTCTCCTAATGGAGAGGCAAGGGACAGGTGTGTACAGGCTGGTGTAAACAGGGAATTGATCTTCCTTAAAGTCTTATATGATGATGACTTCTGATGTAGGTAACCGAGGATTGTGGGAACAGCAAAAAGACTGATTTAACAAAATATGCGGTAATAACACAACCCTTCCTCTCTTCGTCCTGTAATGAAGCTTTTCTCTCTTCTGCTCCACTAGTAAGGGTGGGCAATTGAAAACTGGCCAGTTCAGAAATATATATCAATGTGAATATAAGTACAAAACACTGTGTACAAATTAATAATTTATTTCTTTGTGTTTCACTGGTGTCTGTCTCGCATTTTTTGCTGTTCGAGTTTTATTTATTCTACTGCGTCACATTTCGTTTTGAACCTCTCGTAATTATGGTCTTGTACCTTACCTGTTTGTCACCACAGTTGTACCTGTGAAAATCACAGCTGTTCCTGTGATTCACAAAAATCAAGTTAGTGAATCACTTATCAATTAGTATCTTGACCTGTGATTTTTATTTATGAACATATGTAATTTATCGCGTAGAATCATTGTGTAAGTTTTTGTAACAGTGTGTCTGTTCGGCTTTGATAATTTCAAGGCCAAAATGGAAAACATATTTACAAATAAACAGTCAGCATTCAGCATATTACCTCCTATAGTTTGCCACTACGCTTCTTGCGTAACGTAGCTGTAAGAACTTAGAGGGATACTATTAGAGGCGTTCTTACTTGGCAAGATTCCCTCTCTTTAGTCCGGAATTTGTTAGGCAAGTAGAATATCTAAATGTTTTGATGTAGACATCATTGTTGATATTTACACACAAATCTTACCTCAGTGTATCTAACTGTATGTTTGTGAATGTACAGTAACTAGAGCTTTAAATAATAAGAAATATTCCCATACTTCACAGGATAACCGATCTCCACCTGCTATACTTTGCAGTGATGATAGTGTCATGTCCAAAGATGTGTTAACTTTGACACAGGACTGCAATACACTGGAAGGCTCCAACGATAGCGCTCTAGCGAGATCTTCTGGGACTAATGTTGGTTCTCCTTTCTCTAATAGAACACGGAGGTGAGATCTTATATCGTCATTTTTTGTACTGAGAAGTTACGTTTGAAATTTCGTTTCACTCTTTTTTTTTTTTTTTAGCTGTGTGTGATTGCTATGGACAGTGTTTTGAGATATTAATAATGAACTTGAGTAATTTCGTGTCAACGCTTCTACTTTGGTTGAATTATTTATGCAGATCGTACAAAATGCTTTTGATGTTTAACGTACGCTAGGTGGTTGTGACGAACTTGTTTTCTCAAAACTACTTGATTGATTTGGAAATAAATTTGGTGTATAGCTTAAGGTTTACTCAGTGAACTGCTATAATGAAGATCTATACTGTAACGTTTTTACGTGGATATAACGTATTCAAACACCATAAGATATGAGATGATTTTTAATAGACACCGAGCGAAGGATAAAGGTTTGAGATGTTCCAGCAACTTAAGTCTCTATTTCTCAATTATTAAAGTATTTCGTCGTTTTGTTACGAGCGTAGTACATTCTGTGTTTCTGATTGACGATTGTGCTTACGAGTGAATAACATTACATAATGCGTAAATATATTTTTTGCCTGCTTTTGTTAATTATACATCTACATATTCCGATGTTTATCTCTTGCATACTGTAGGATGTAACATGAGAATCATTATAACAAAATTTCAAAGGCAGAGTCAGAATTTCAAATAAGCTATGAAAACGTATAATGAAACTCTAATTTCCTCATTTTTTTCTATTCTTTTCTGTCACGTAAAGTTTTCTGAAATAACTAAAAACAAAGACGCAAATCCTAAACTGTAATTAAACAACAGGAAGAAAGCTACATTCAGATTTGGATGATAATTTCACAATGTTTTGATAAATTACAGCTTCAGTGACGGGGAAGAGAAGTACGAGTGCTACGGAGAAGCTGATGACCTTGATGGTCACGTGAACGACCCGGGGAATCACCTGAATTTAGGGCAGGATCCAAAACAATATCTTAGGTAAGCATTAGAAAGCTAGAGACGAAAAATGGAGAGAGATACAAGAAAAGCCTACTTATAGCTCTACAGTTGCACAACCCAACTTTTTTAATAATAATTTTTTTCTCATGTTCTTACCAGAAATAACAAAAATATTGACTGCATGATAAATCATAATACTGACACCAACGCCATAAAGCACGTCCATTTAGATTTGTAGATATGTGCATTAGTTTAATTATGTAAGGTAGTGATATGGGATCAATAATGGGACATAAAGCAAACAATTTGTGTTTTGTAAGCAGTCATGACGTACTGCCACCTTGAGTGGATGATTTGTAACAATTGTTCACGTGACCTCATGGCTCGTGCATACTGGTGACGGACGCGAATGTGAATGATCAAAGCGTAATTGTAAGTTTTTGTCTTTTAAACAAGTTTGATGTAAGTTGAGCTTATTGAATTTTTCATGGTTAAAAAGTAGATAGCACAGAGAATTTCACGTAGTTGATATCAAACAATGATGAATTATAGACAACCGATTCTGCTATAAAAGAAACACATCTCAAGTTCACTGATTTTGTATAACGTGCAATTGATTAGGGCAAGCATGTGAAAGTTCCTTCTTGACGCAAGCCGGAGAACAATTTTATATATCCATGCGGGCCACACCGTATGAAGCAAAAGTAAAATTTAAAAAGACTGCAATTTCCTAAGCAAAATTTCTTGTTATCACCATAAAAAGGGTACAAATAGAGTAGAATATACAGTGAACGAGTGTATTATTCAAATAATAAAAGTTATGAAAAATGAAATGTTTTAAAAATTTACCGTAGTGAGCTACATTCAAAATTTAATTAAACTACTTTTTGTTTATATTATACCAATTAGTATAGCAGCAATTCTTAGCTAATAATCCATGTTTTAACATAAAATAAGTTTAAGTTCTTAAATGTAAAACGCAATATTTAAAAAAATCCTAAATTTCCCCTAGTGTGAGAAATGTGACATTTTTTTCTCTAGGTATGCTCTCATCTCTAATATATTCACCACCCATCCAATAAGTACGAAATTTAACGTAAATTACTCACTATAATATCGTCATCGTTCAAATAAAGCATAACTTTCCCGGCCTTCAATCTTGTTTGGTTACAGAGCCGTGAAATAGAAAATCAGACCCCTCTTGCTACATCCACCTGTCACATCGTCTCTTTCATGATTTGTTGATAGTTCTCTTCTACGTTTAATACCATATTATTTATAACCAATAAAGAGCCAAGATTTTCATCTATCAAATGAAGTATCATATTACGTTGTTTCCTGTACAGAGAACTGTCAATTTCTCTTTTAGTACAAGCTTTGTTTCCACGGAAAAGATATCAAAAAGTTTGGATGAATCTGTAAAGGCTATTGTCGCATAGTTAGAAAGCCAGACATATAATTATAGTTATGGGACATTGTCTGTTTTTTGTAGGTAATTTTAATTTTTTTCTTGACTGATGACAGAAGAAGAAAAAAAGAGTTCGTGGGGAGCTCGTGGGCCGGATGTAATTATATTTTAACTATATTTATATAATTATATTTAACTCTTCGTCGGCTTGCACGAATATAGGTAATAAATACAATGGAAAAAAAGTCAATCGAAAAAAAAGACAAAGAAAATTACACAAACAGGTAACAAGTAAAAAAAGATATTTTAGAAATTAATAACAACTAAGCCAAACCAAAGCCAATTATTGAAACCATGTAAACCAACTGAGTTAATAATTAAACTGTTATTAATACAGTTTTTTAATCAATGGCCTTCCATTATAGGCTTCCCCTTATAGGGTTCTCATTGTTGTTCAATACTTGCTATTAAACCTTACTATTCTGTTTATTCTTCCTTTTAATGTGTTTGCTTTGTACATCTATATATGTATATATATTTGCTTTTTTTTACCTGTTTGTGTAATTTTCTTTGCCTTTTTCCCCGATTGATTTTTTCCCATTGTCTTTTTTTATCCTCGTTTCTATAACCGCCACTGACGTTGAACATGCCTGCCCTAAGCTTTAGGGTAAGACGTCCCCCCCCCCTCACAGGGCTTTCTTACCTCCCATCAATGATGTACATAGTGGCATAGGCCTATGACGGAAATGCACAAAGTCTTCTTGAACTTTGCCGAGAGCACCTAAATTATGATTTAAGCTGTTTAAGTGTTTTTACTAAATGCAGCATTCATATTAATTTGCAGCTGTCATGAGTTAGATGGAGACCATTTTGCCAATTCCTGAGGGGCCGTTTTATCGAACCTTATTAATAAAACGGTCCCCAACAGCAATAAGTTCATTTCTTTCAATATATGAAACAAATCTGTGTCCAATCTTTGTTTTAACTAGACGACATTTATAATTAAAAAGGATTCATTTTAAAGCCTTTTGCCTTTTATGATCTCAATTGTTGAAAATCACATTCAAAGTTAAAATGGTCGTCTTATCCTGCCTTTCCCTACATCTACAGGTTGGTTTAATTAATTCTATTTATTTATTGTTTGAGAGTTATGAAGATTGATTTGTATTGTTATCTTAGTACGTGGTTTAAGACAACTAAGTGTTTTTGATATATTACTTGAATTACGACTGAAAATACCGATAATAGTGACGGTACCTAACTGACGAATCAATGCATCATAAGCGTTTGTTTTCTTGTGAATTGTTTTATGGCATTACATACTTCTTATTTGCTCTTTATGTAAAATTAGCTACATTATGTTTTTTAAACTTCTGGGCTATGGAGGTAACTTGATTTAATCAAAAGTTATTGAAAATTATACTCTAAACAATTCTTATTTTAAACTGTGAAAAACAACCAGAACTATGGAATAAACATATAATATACAATATCCATTATGTTAATTCTCTAAGGTAAGAGGATTATTATTATTATTAGTCACATAAATATAATATTGTTTGTAGGTTTTTGCCCTTTTTTTTTATTCCTTTCCATATCTTCGTAAAAGATAGAACGCTTTCATTTTTGTACTCTCCAGTGCTGGAAAGTTGCTTCTGACGATGTTGAATAATAAAAAAAAGACTTTGAGCCTATTTGTGTTTTTTTGTTTGTTAAACTAAGACTAGAGGCCGTTTTAATTAATTTGATATAGGTCTATAAATCTGATGCTTTAGTTAGAGCATAAAATGCTATTGATTTCAAAACATTTTATACATGAATATGTAATTAACAATGTTACATCTTCTAGTTCAGACAGTTTCCGTAGTAGTAGTTCGGGTAGTATTGGCAGCGGAAGGATACAACCATCTCCTAATTCTGGTTTTCAGCAGCGGAGCACGTGGCTTCGTACCAGTTTACGCAGAGCATCTGGGTGTGTATTAATTATAATCAGATTGTTTTTGTCGGGTAAGGTTTCATTTTGCTGCACTTTCCTGAATGTCCTACATGATTATAATCATGTTTACGCAATTCTTCCCGATATCCAGAGTAACAGTGATCTTATTGGTATGGTATAAATTTCGGTTCATAAGCTAAATTAATGTACATACAAGAAGAGTTTGGCTGCCTTATTGGCTCGTGTAGAATTGATAAACTTTATCTCACGAGTTTGTGTTACACAAACATACAATACACTCTATGATTTGCAATGCTACATAAAGGGTTGAAATTGATATGTATTGTTTCGCATTTTGTATTTTGTTAGATTTAAAATGTATATGGTTGCAGTGTTTTGGTAGAAGAACACGTGTATTATTTTATGGTGTTAGTTCCTGTAGGTGGACTATGCGCCTCAAATGCGCAAAACGAAACTGCTAATTCTTGGACGTTTTATCTAGAGCTAAGTAAACATATGCGTTGTATTGGTTGTATCAATTTTATAACTTATTTTCTTGATATAAACTATGTTTATTTCTATTAGCGAGTATGCACAGGGTCACTGTACCGAACTGTTATTGTTTTGAAATTTACAATTTGTCTTTTTATTAACAATTTTTTTTCAACAATAATCACGCATGCTAGTCATTTCTACGTTTCCTATACTTTTTGTGTGGAGTTTTAATTGTTTTTGCAATGATTCATCGCATTCTTGTTCTAAAGATAAAAGCTTCGGTGTTCTTTCAAACCATCCACTCTGTTTCTGGAATCAGGGTGGAAGAGTGAAGTCCCAACATTGTTTTCATGTACAAATTGAAAAGAAAAGAAAACACATTACTCATCTCTTCAAATCTATCTTTCAAGGAAAATCAGAAATTGTTCTAAATATATTGACGTTTTTCCCTCGGGGAAAAATACACATTCAAGGTAGCTGTTTGTCTTGTTTTAGCCCAAAAGAACTATATTAGAAGTTATAGAAACTTTTGCCCCATTTGTGGTCGAATCAATAAATCTGTTATTTAGAAATGTAAACAAGATTAGTAATATCTATACGAAACCTAAATTTTAAGCTGAAATAATCATATGATAAAGATTAGACCTGAAATACTTGAAATCACACAACAGGTTCCAGTGACGTTATATTTGGTTACAGATAAAAGAATAATAAGTGTATGGCCTAATTATTTCGAAATATCAAGCTGTCCCATTCTGTTTTTCTTATTGTTCCCAGAAGAATAGATTGTTTCTGTAAGGTAGTTAATATTATCAGCGTTAAAGATTAAAATAATAGGTTATTAACTGAAGGACTAACAAACTTGAACAACAAGAATATTAAATTTTATACAAGATTTGGAACATATATTTGGAACATTTATTGTAAGGAGAGATTAGGTTTACAACTTACAAGACAACTTTGGAAGCTTACTAGAATAATTCATTTCTATTTTCATCAAAACTAGGTTTATGAATTTTTAACATTTAGAAGGTACCCAATATTTATCTAAAAAATTAAAATTCAAAGCAGTTGGGAACTTTCATTTATTTTTGAGTAACTGTGTAGACCCTTAAGTAGTTTTTGACATTCGGTACGTATACATAAGTTGCTACTTGAAAATACAAGAATTAACAAGCAGTGGACAGATAAAACGGTGTTATTAAATCAAGGTTTAATATTTTACATTGAATATTATATGACAAAGTATTCAAAAGTGTGGAATGAATGATGACAACAATCAAATAAAGTGAATTTGTAAGTCTAGCATTATAAAGATTTCAAAATAATTTTGAAGAAATATAACTTTGAAAGAGGAGTATTAATGTCACTAACAGCCACGAAAGTTGTAAAACTTGTAGAATGCTATAATGCAAGTGCATGTATTTACTCATTTAGTCTGCGCCGTCACAGGAAGATTACTGGTATAAAATTTAGATGTCGCTGGCACAGTTGTAAACAGTTAGTACCTTGCACAACTTGCAAAGTACATGACTAACGCTTGTTTTTATAAGCGCATGAAAGGCTATCTAGTTGGCATTCTGCGGATCTGTATCAACTTTTGCACTTAGATTTAGGTTATGTAAGAGATGCAATTACATTAGCTACAGAAGTGATCTTATTCTTTTGAGATTAATAACTAATAAACACAGCATTTTTTTGTCATTAGAACAGTCACAAAAGAAATAAATCATTTCATTATAATTTATATTTTTCATTAGGTGATGAACGATGGTTAATTTTTGTACCAGTTGTAAGTTTCGGCTTCTTAGCACTCTAAGTTATGATCATGAGTACATTAATAGCAGTGTTGTCAAGTCCACTTATAATAAGCGAAATTGGGCTTTTTTTCTTGAAGTCTCTTTAATTCTTCTTCTTTTTTTTTGGGGGGGGGGGGGGAGTCGCGCACTACAGTTTTTGTGCTTGTTTTATTCTGGGGGAGCACAATCTGGCTTTTTCGTAGTAGCTGCCTTCAAAACACAGTCAAATAATTGTAGGAGTGGTTTCGGTGATTGACTGCGTCAATGAAAATCCTACGCATTATTACAATTTTAGAATCATTCTATCCCCTCTCCTGTTCAATTAAAAGCATACCCACAAACGTGAAATTTCTGGTCCGTCCACTTGAAATATTCTATATTCCAATTAAACCGCGCAAGTCGCCATTTTGAGGGTAAGCCATAAAAGGACAGTTTTGAAAGTCAGTGCTGCTTATTTTTATCACGAGAAAAAACAAAAAACAAGAATGTATAAAAAGTGAAGCAGTGTCTTTCCAGCAAAACTGGAAGATTGGTTTTGAAAATTAGTATATTACTTGATGAAAGTAACTTATTAATTGTTGTCATGAAAATAACAGAAACAATGAAATACATAACATTAATAATAATGTTAAACATAGCCATTCAAAATAAGTCAGTAATTAATATTCAAAGTGTATGAAATAATCTTATAATGAACTAAAGACCTTTCTATCTATCTGTACATCTATCTAAAAAATCAAATACAATATTCTAGTTGTGTAGTTGATAGGCATACTTAAAAAAAATACTTTTTATCTCTCCTAAAATCTCAAAAATAAATAACGCAAAAAAACAACAAAAAACAATGAAATTAATAAGGAGACATTACCAGTAAGAAGCAGTAATAGTGCTTATGAATTTTTGGACGAATATATTACATCCGCAAAATTCATATGGTGTTTTCAAAAAGTTCCAATAATGCACTTGAACAAAATCCGTATATAATTTCGAAATGGACGAAATATGATTTTTTTACTACACATATAAACGAGTTGGCTTGTGATTTTCTTATCACTAAAATTTTGTTTAAAATAAAACATTTATTTTTATATTCTGTCCAAGATATTAATATTTTTTATTTGTTGAAAAATATGTATGAATATAATACATATCATATGATTCTTCTAGGCTATACAAATTGACGTTTTGCCATCTGGTGGTTGCAAAACAAGATACTTATAATGGCTGATTAAAAATATTTATATTTCAGTTGATCAGATGGTTATATTTACCAAATTTTGTGTTTAAGAATGTTAAGAAAATCTATTTATAATTTTACGTATGTGGTATTGCTACAATCCTCTTTTCTTCCGTACTTATTAAAGCTCCTATTAAAGCGCCCTCTACTTGTTAATATATATTACGTTGTGAAACACTCATAGTTACGTAGAGATTATATTCTCAAGACCATGTGGAAAGGAAGTAAAAGACTTTGGAGTGAAGAGATTAAAGATCACTGGTCAGTTTTTCATCTTGTTTTATCAAAATATTTTCTTTTTTTATCTCATATTTGTACTTAAATAAAATAGATTTAACAAAATTTGTGCGAAATTCTAACTAATGGTTGTACAGAGAGAATAAAATGTAAGACTAACAGTTTTTGTATCATCCAATCGATAAGCTAGACTACAGTTTCAACTGGATATCCGACTTTCTGAAAAGAACTGCAACATCGTTTTGTTAATTGATGAATACCTGCTCTAGAATGCTGTGTTTTTCTAAAGACGTGAAATATTTGGAATACTAATTTATTATCAGTATATATATATATTTTTTTTTCTTGCACACTGATTGTAACGTGTAATCTCAAATCATTCGTAGGTTACAGCATATCTAAAACAAAAAAGTAAGAAAAGTGAGTGTAGTTTGATGTGTTATGATCAAAGTTTGTTTTCCCATTTAGTAATATCATAAAAAGCTTATATGTTTATCTAGTAATAGTTTCTCCCCAAATACTGCTTGTGATGTCTAGCAAAGTTGAATAGGTTCTCCTCTTATGCCCGCTTGTGATATCTAGCAACGAGTAAAATAGTTTATCCTCAAATACTGCTTGTGATGTCTAGCAACGAGTAAAATAGTTTATCCTCAAATACTGCTTGTGATGTCCAGCAACGAGTAAAATAGTTTATCCTCAAATACTGCTTGTGATGTCTAGCAACGAGTAAAATAGTTTATCCTCAAATACTGCTTGTGACGTCTAGCAACGAGTAAAATAGTTTCTTTTCCCACGAATATCATTGTATGACATATATGCTGTGAAAATTTTAATTAAATCCTGGTTTAGTTCAAGACGTACTCCTGGAAGATAACAATGTATACTGGTTTAGTTCAAGACGTGTCCCTGGAAGAGAACATTGTATTCTGACCGATCAATATGTGCCCCTGGAGGAGAACAGGGTATTCTGGTTTAGTTCAAGACCTACTCCTGGAGTGGAGCTGTGTATACTGGTTTAATTCAAGATGTGTCCTTGGAAGAGAATAATGTATTATGGTCTAGTTCAGGATATGTCCCTGGAAGTAAACAGTGTACTTTGATTTAGTTTAAGATGTATCCCTGGAAGAGAAAAGTGTTTTCTGGTCTAGTTCTAGACGTGTCCCTGGAGGAGAACAGTGTATACTAGTTTAGTTCAAGACGTGCCCCTTGAAAAGAACAGTGTATTCTGATCTAGTTCAAGACGTGCTCCTAGAAGAGAACAGTGTATTCTGGTTTAGTTCAAGAAATGCCCCTGGAAGATAACAGTATATTTTAATAATTAATCTGTGTTGTGGTTTATATTATCATACAGCCTCTTCTACGGACAAAAGTATTCTTGACATAAGGGTGCCATCAGCAAATTATAAAGAAAATAAAACAGGAGTATTAAGTTTATCACCAATTTAGAGGGATTAGGAATTACCTTAATGATGCACGTGTTACATGTGTATAAGTTTGAAGCATGTAGAGTGGGTCATCCTCCCAGACTCGTGTTTTCAGAATTTCTAGTGCATATTGGAGGAATTTAGACATTTAGGCAATAAGTTAGAAAAAAAACCAACAACTTTTATTCTCCAGATAATAATAATAAAATTTTAGCCAACGTTGCGCTATTGCAGTTTCATCATGGCTAGTAGTACAAGAACTTATATTTTCATATCAAACTTGTGTTAGTTCCTGTTGTAGTGACATTATCACTCTAGTAATGAAACTTTACTTTTTCTCGACGATCATACTCTGTCTGGTTCTTTCGCTTCTTAACAACAACTTTACTTTTTCTCGACGATCATACTCTGTCTGGTTCTTTCGCTTCTTAACAACAACTTTACTTTTTCTCGACGATCATACTCTGTCTGGTTACTTTCGCTTCTTAACAACAACTTTACTTTTTCTCGACGATCATACTCTGTCTGGTTCTTTCGCTTCTTAACAACAACTTTACTTTTTCTCGACGATCATACTCTGTCTGGTTCTTTCGCTTCTTAACAACAGCTCTGCATCGATATTTCTTCAGATAACAGCCACTTCTTTTGTATAAACTGGCTAACGTTTTAGGTCTCCCTATGAACACTGAAACCCTCCTCTTCAAAATAATTTGTATTTTGGTCGTCTAATAATCTTTATGTATGGATATTTAGTTCGGATAAACTGGTTACTTATCCTTTTGGCTACCGATCAAATTTTTGAGGCATTTTACAAACCTAGTCAATGCGATTTATTTATATATGCATCTATCACTAATCACAGTTCTAGAACTATCCCAAAATTCATAGGTAAACTGTGTTTAATGAACATGAATATACAATCTAACCTTTTAATGAAGCTTGTAGCCTTCTTCCCAGACTCAGTCTTGTTATAATAGCTCTTTTGATTTTTACAAGGTTACTTTTTAATATCTTTCTACGTGTACACACGTGTTACATTTTACCTGCATTTGTAACTATATCAAGAAGGAGGGATGTAACGACACTAGAAAATTAATCCATATTAAGGTACTTCGAAGATCATAATGAGTCGCTTAATTGACACGTTTATAAAGCACTTGTATGTACGCACATGTTTTAAATAAATATAGTTTTATAGATGATGCTCAGGTTCATATTCTTACTTTCAAGTGTTTATGTATTAAGTGTTGAAAGATATTACCTTTCTATGGTACACAGACTGCACTGTTGTTCGTTTTCAACTTCAGTTCATGAAGTTGATTGTGCTTTGGTATCCCAGGCCGTTATACGCATTAGTATTGTTGTGAGATCATGCTGTCTGCCTACATATACGTTATGCATATTAGCGTGTTCTGTTGATCTTTTAATGTAATTTATTTATTTTATCCTTAATAAATTGTTTAATTTGAATTACTTTTTTATATGTATATTTTTAGTTCGAGCAAGCGGGTTTCGTCTAACGCATTAGCAAGGTAAGCAGCTTTATATATATATATATATATATATGTATAAATTAGATATTATACTTAAAGTTTTACATATGTTTCAAGTTTTATTGTAATTTCAAAACTAATTATGATTTTATTTACGCTTCTTTAATAATTTGACAACCATAAATTTTTACATCTATTTCAAAGTAAATTTTTAACATATCCTACATGTCGGCAGCATTCTAACAAGAGAATTTAGGAACTAAACAAAATATGTATACGAATGAGAATTTTGCCATAACTTGACATATATTAGCCACTGCATAGATACCTAAGGTGGAAAGACAGAATACATTTTAATCACCAAACACCTTCATACTTCAGATATTATAATTCAAACCTTTATTTTAAGCTTTAAGCCAACATCTGTTATGCTTTATCTTGTAATATCATTTTGTATTCCATATAAACTACCTTCTCAAGCTTTTTAAACACTTTAGATTTAGCAAAATAAAGAAACTCATCAAAGTACGGTTAATAGTTTTTATAGTAAATGTGAGAAAAGGTTTTCTGAAATTTTTTTTCATAATTATGGTTAAATTCGACAGATTTATTCTCTAGAAGTTTAAAGGTTCTAATTTTTTACTGTTATGATTCAAGTTATCAAACTAATTTTTGTGAAATTTGCAATATGCTGAAACCAAGGTACATCAATTGTTTGAGTGGGTTAATTTATTTCCAAGAAACTTAAATTTAACTGAAAATTTACAAGTTTTGTCCCAGTCTATGGATATATTTATCGCAACATTCTACTGTATTTGTCGTTTGGATTTATTTTCAGTTCATTATCATGTCGCAAACTTTAGAATAAAACTTTTATTTTGATTTACTTTCTTTCATCGCTACATAAAATGAACTTTGACGAATTCAAGCTAAAATTATATATTGACTTCATAAAATTCGGACAAAGTTAGTCTAAGGAGAGAAAGCACGGACGCCAAAATTTCGCATTAGAAAAGAAAGAGGGGAAATTTTCAGTTTAATAAATAGTGATAATGTAGTACCAGACTTATAAATGGCATACATCTGGATGTGATTTCTGAAACCATAAATAATTTTAAGTATAAAGTATGAGCATTAAAAATTATCAACAGTGTTAAAAGGAACATAAAATATATTATTTTCCTATATATATTGTTACATATTACAAATTTGAATGGTCTGAAACCGAGCTAAATGATAATTTAAATTTAGTAGTTAAATATATGCCGATATATACCTCCAATATATGATATTTGTCAACATGATTGATACAAACAGTTTTCTTTTTAATACAAATATGTTTTAATATACAAAAACAATACAATTTACAATAACATTTATTACAAATAGTT